CGAATTCAAAAATTGGGCCATGGGTTAGCCCATAGTCAGTACGGCATGCACGCTTCCCACTTGAAGACAGCTTCGAGATGATAGCAAGCGACACGTTTGGTTGATAGTTACACTTCCACCGCAGTTCCTGCCCATGGGGCAATCTGGCATCACCCCTTGATCTCGTCGATGCATGGCGTATGCCTGGGTGGGCACTGGCTACGTCGACGAGCATCCTGGACACTCCTCAAACGCCGGCAATCTGCCTTCAAGGGAAATGGAGTAGGTGTTCCTTGCGAAGAAAATGACAGCTTCACTTTTCTGGCGCTCGTTAGATGCAGTTGGTGTGATCCGCGCCTGTGATTCAGATGCTTCATTGAGTTTTACCATAACTGCTAGTTATTTATTGCTTGTAAACGGAATTTCGTACACAACTGAAAAAACATGGTACTACGAAATATCGCAGAATTGTGGGAGAAAGTTCTTGGAAATGACACCTATAGGCTTTAAGTTCACGCGCAAGCACATGCAAATGCAGAAAAGTGATAATCGGAAAAATGCAAAAATCCGAGCATGGAGGGGAACCGAACCAACAACTTCGAACAAACCGTGCCAACCAGAGTCCATCACGCTATCCACTCGACCATCCGACCACCGCTGTACAATGAATGTCAACGACTCTGATGAAACTTCCTTGTGCTTTTGAGCACTTATTATATACAATTTTTGGTATTGGCTTTATTCCACGCTGTTTTCAACGTTCAGGTGAAGAAAACCTTCTATTGTGCGTCCACTTAACATACCGAGTGATATAAAAACGCTGAAGGTGTGGTACAAAAACGTCACGTTTGTAAATTCTTTAGTGTCGACTCCTTTCTGTGCTATCTTAGAGAGGCCGTCAAGAAAAAATAGAGTATACCTAGTGTTCTTGGGTACTTCACTAATGTGCGCTCCCCTCTATTCATGCGAGAAACTGTCTTTATCGCAGAAAGGTCCTCCATATGTACGCTGATAGTCACCTTTCCTCGGGTGGGGTGGTAGTACGTGCCTGCTCGATCATATGCTATACTTCATGATGAGCCGCAGTAGAATTGAAACGTCCTTCCTTCGGACAATCCGAAGGAGTCCACTTCCTCTTTCAATGCCTCCAGAGAGCCACTTGTGCACCTGCGTACCCAATGTCGGCGGTTGTATTTACGTTTGGAAAACCAGCGTTTCGTCAATTTCCTCTTTCGCACCCGAACCTTGCGATGATCGGCGGGTTTCTCCTGGAATGCCCACACACACGGCGCGGGAAGTGGTCAAGGACGCTACCCTCACTGAAGTTGAACTGGTGTGGCGACTTGAAGCATCGTTTCCGTAAGTGAGCGGTCCATCACCGTTGTCCAATCTAGATTTCGGCCGGCAAACCAGAAATAGGGCAGTGCGAACACCGTGGACTCAGGAAAGTTACAGTTCTCGAAAAAGGAATTCTTTCGGGCATGAACGTTAGACCCTGGTCTCGTTCGACGGTCCAGTGCGGCTCGCTCGACGATTGCAAATCCAGATCGTTATCGCCGTTCGTTCGTTGATCAGGCTCATGGCTTGACATGAATGGCATAGTGGCACAGACATCAACCCCATGGATCGCAACCAGTAAGTGCAGATTATTCAACTTGAGCGTCTCGTACACGTCCTTCAAGGCTAAGCCCAGTAGCTCTCATTGACGATTGTGTCGCTAAAGAGTAGCAAGAGCCATCGTTATTCTCCGTTGTCGAAAACGTGCTGTCGTATCACTAGGCTTTGGCTCAGTTCCTGTCCGTGCAGAAAGTTTATCCGATGCGATGAACCTTTCTCCACGATTGACAGCTCGGCGCGTCTGAGAAGGGGTGAGCACACGGTGCCTAGTTGTACGCATCTGACTATGAAGTGTTGTTGCGTTGGCAACCATCGTCAATTGGCCGTCTCGGGCCGTGAATTCATCGAGGGAAAACCAGGCGTGTTGAGACTGGATGGTGCTATTCGTATCAGGACCAGAAATATTACTCACTCGCCATGAACACAATGAGCAGCACGTTGTTCAGCGGATTTGTGGAAACAGCCGTGGCGCCTAGTAGATATTGCTCGGCCACTCTTCTACATAGATACCGGGGTCGTTGATGGCGAATTCAGACAACCACTGACACACAATCAAGACCTATGCCTATTCAGTTAACGGAGAATAATCGAATTATTAAATGGTATTGGTAGACATTTCCTCATTTTACGGATACCTCTCTCCTATTTTGATAATTGGCTCGCTCCCAGATTAAGCAGACTCACCACAATCGATATAGTAGCGGAAGATGTAGTAGAATGGCGGATTATGAGTCGCGAGACCCAATACTCGGGCAACCCTGGCGGTCGAGACTCTTGGCGCCCATTCTACTACAATGCGCCGAGATGTGTCGCCGACCTAGCTGGAGCGCAAATACTTTATACTATAATGCCAATTTCTCCTTATTCTCGTTCAAACCAGGACGAGTGTCCCTGGAGTTCAGGCGCACTGGTCGATTGATGGCTTAATGCAACTCAAATTATATAGTAGTGCTTCACACTTGTTGCACCAGCTAGTTGAAGAAAACACAATCCTGTACTCGCATGAGGCTCTTGTGTTCGCATTACAGTTTGCGGAATAATAACCTGTGGAGAGCGGGGCAGCGTAACTTAATTTGTCTCTAGAGTGCTCCTCTCAAATCTGTCTCCCTTCAAGCATTTTCAGAATGACAATGAACATGCCGGAACAAGATAGAGCGCGAACTCGGCGGAATAATAACAGTTGTGTAGTACTACAATAAACAACTTAGTGTTTAAACTGTTAGAACAATAAGTGCAGTAGCTACTTCACTGCGATTGCCACTTTTGTTAGCAATTTAGGGGTTAGGGATAGAGCCAAAGCATAATCATAATTTGAACATTATTTAAGGGACGGCACAACTCTCTCTTCGAGGTGTGCACAGTTCATCGGGAACTTTAGCAAAAACATATTGCTTGTACTGAGAGTATCTATGCATCATAAGGCGCGGACCTCACTTCACTTCGCCGTGGGCCTCTTCCACAGCGGGAAGATCATGCGCATCGTTACTGACGGGGCCTACTGCGTATAGGCCAATAGTTTGTTGAGCATCCATCACGCAGAGAAGCGAGTCGGAATTATATTAGTACTCGGTGACTGGCACGATAATAATCCGAGACTATCACTATACTCTCACAAACAATGATATGATATTAAGTCTTCACTTGACCGAGTGAACGGGTATTCAATTATCTAGACCCAGACTCCACGCTCGTTAGCACACGTGCTTTCTACACCTAGTAAACTCTTCTCAGCTATGCATAAAATTATGGGAATTTGGGCTGCACGCTCACGTGTGCCCCTCAAAGATGCTATTGATTCGACTGTTAATAGAGTTGAAGCGACAAATAGGAGCTGTCATTACCGATTGAGCCACTGGTGGATGCATTTGGAGCGCTGGGTGCAGGATTTCCAGTGACAATGCCCGTCACACACACGAGCGTGAAATGAGAGAAGCCGGGTCATCTCGATAGCCAGCACACGCTTCCTCTTGCCAGTTATACAGGTCGCAGCTCTGAGAACACCACGCTGAACGAGATGCAGGTCTTCACGCAGTAGAGAAAAGAGAGTAGATCTGTATGTCGATCGCTTCCTGAGGCCTCGTTTCGCCTCAACCCAAAAAGGAGCGACGTCGCAGCGTTCGCCTCGCCGCTTGCGCGACGAAGCCGAACACCGTCGCAGCATTCGCCTCGCCGCTTGCGCGGCGAGCTGCGCGCTGCGCGCGCGCGCGAGCACAGGGAGGTGATCCCCGGGGTGCCGCCCCATCCGACGTGTGGCGACAACCGCTCGCGTTGTGTCCTCCACCTTCTACATAAACGGCGCATAGTACTCTGCGCGGGCCTGCTCGACGCATTCTCTCTTCGTTGAGAGGGTGCAGAGAAGACGAGAAAATCGATGACACGTGAGAATGCGCGCCCCAGTGCAACGTCGAGAAGGTTACGGTATACACCCTATGTTCCTGAACTTATAATCTTGTTCGATGCCGCGTCAGTGCCACGTCAATTTCTGCAATTGCACATTTTCTGGTTATTTGAAGGCGAGGATACCCTCGTCCCTCGGTAGGACAGCTGCGAATACCACGTCATATCATATATACGGCCACAAGGCATAGTGCGAAAACGGGTCGACGCCACGTTCCGAGGAGAAGGCGAAGTAGAAAAATGATACCCATTTGGGTCGGGGCCAGGGTCAACCGTCCGTTGGACAAAGTCCAACGCGACGACGAGAGTAATGCCGAGAGTGAACGTACGCACGGAGACACAGACGGCTCGCGGGTGGCGAGAGTGAATGCCGGCGCGGAGAGCGGTCAACATCGGTCCAACGTAACGGTTGACCCTGGTCGGGGCTCTGTCGCAACGTCGAATAGTCAGCTAGGTGACATTGCTTGTGGAAACCCATTGTTAACGATTTGCAGGCACTTCCAATATTCCGATCGACGCCCAGTTTTTATTATTTCCATTACATACCCACTTAGCCCCGCAAGCAAATTGGTTCACTCAGCCGGAACTTCCTCTCTGGGATTACTGCCCAAACTACTGCGCCGTGATACCCCCTCCCCTAACAATTGCGCCTAAGCTGATTCTACATACTCTTTCCGCTATTTTCCTCACTTTGTACTCGATTATTGGATTGGTGGTGTTGTGCTTTGACAACAAGTATTTCGCGCATATTTGCGGGTAACCTTGATTTGGATAATAGCTAGACTGAGTTGTACCAATACAGCCATTATCCAAACCATTCTTTGCATTCGGAATTAAGGCAAGAGGAACGTTCAATGAATGTTCACTGTTAGCTGCATAGCCTTTGTTCAACTTAGTTATACGTCGCTTTCCCTGCATGTCTGGATAAAGTCTGAGCCGATCTGAGGGATAAGCTGATGAACAATTATGGATTCTTTCAAATAATTTGAAAAGTACAAAATAAGAACTCACGAAGAAACACCATTCTTGAACAATAGCACGAATTTCGGCACTTCATCCGTTCCAGAAATAAGAATTTCTCCAGCAACCTCCTTGAGTGCTGATCCAAGCAGCGGTTTTCCCTTCACGCGCTTTGCTTCGCTTATCCGATGCAAAAGATCATCCGCATAGTCGTAGTCACCAAGCGAAACGGGCACTTCCGCAGTTTCTCCATATTTCACGACAGCAACGCGTACTTTGTTTCTGGTTACGTCGAAGTGATCAGATAAAAAGCTTTTGAGAAGTTCCTTCATCACACGATAGTCAAGGACCTTAACGGTGTTGGATGTATCGAGAACAACTATCAATTCAATGTGGGAGGAAACAAGACAGTGTGCGGAATGTCGTCTGGATGGAGGAACAACATACTCCCCATAAGTGTTCGTAGGGAATGGCTTGTTGGTGTGGTCTAGTGGACGTCCTACGTCGTCAGTAGGAAGAGGCAAACCGTTCTCACCCAGAGCACTGCCATACTGATCAGTGGGGAGCGGTTTACCGTCTTCACTAACAGCAACATAAGGACTGGCTCACTAGCGGTGAGGAACCGTACCTTCTTCTCACAGATTTCCGCATCGTCTGGTTTTGTCACGGGATTTTTCACAGTTTCACTTCTATCCGTTGGGAGGCGTTTGCAATCTTCGTACAGCAGATATGAAGATTCGTATTAGTTGTATAGTTTGGTAGTAGTGGTGACCATCGTTCTGGTTATTCATTGATTCCGGCGGAATGACGTTTAATCCTCACATATAAAGCTCCATATTGTTTTTAGGTACATGCGTCCTCGTATCTCCTTCTACGTATAATTGGGGTCTGTGCATATCTGTGGGGAGAGGACTTCCGTCTGGACCAACAACAGGATAGATGTAGTAGCCTGATTCATCAGTTGGAAGTACTTGTCCATCAGGTCCTAGTGGTCTTCCTTCATCATCCTTCTCGATAATGGTACCCTCATCAGTGACGTAGCGTCCCGATGTATCTGTGGGTAGCAAGGATCCGTCTGGCATTGTGATAGGATATATCACATTTCCGCTTTCGTCTGTCGGTAGTTCCTTGCCTACTGCTTCTTCACCTGGAACAACTACGTAGTTGCCCGACGCATCCGTTCGTAGCGGCGAGCCATCTTTACGCAGAGGTTTTCCGCTAGAATCGGTTGGTATTGGTTGTCCATCAGGACCGACGTATGCTCCAGAATCGTCTGTTGGCAGCGGTTTTCCATCTTTACCGACCACTGGGTAAATCGGCCGTCTGTGCATATCTGTGGGAAGAGGACTTCCGTCTGGACCAACAACAGGATAGATGTAGTAGCCTGATTCATCAGTTGGAAGTACTTGTCCATCAGGTCCTAGTGGTCTCCCACTTCTGTCTTTTTCAATAATAGTACCCTCATCAGTGACGTAACGTCCAGAAGTATCTGTCGGTAACGGTGAGCCATCAGGTTTCGTGACTGGGTAGATCACATTTCCGCTTTCATCGGTTGGCAGCTGTTTACTGATGGCCTCTTCAAGCGGAACAGTAACGTAGTTGCCCGAAGCGTCTGTTGGGAGTGGAGAGCCATCTTTTCCCAGAGGTTTTCCGCTAGATCGGTTTGGTATTGGTTGTCCATCAGGACCGACGTATGCTCCAGAATCGTCTGTTGGCAGTGGTTTTCCATCTTTACCGACCACTGGGTAAATCGGCCGTCTGTGCATATCTGTGGGAAGAGGACTTCCGTCTGGACCAACAACAGGATAGATGTAGTAGCCTGATTCATCAGTTGGAAGTACTTGTCCATCAGGTCCTAGTGGTCTTCCTCATATCTTCTCGATAATGGCCTTCATCAGTAACGTAGTTTCCTGATATGTCAGTGGGTAACGGTGATCCGTCTGGCATTGTGATAGGATATATCACATTTCCGCTTTCGTCTGTCGGTAGTTCCTTGCTACTGCTTCTTCACCTGGAACAACCACGTAGTTGCCCGATGCATCCGTTGGAAGCGGGGAACCATCTTTTCCCAGAGGTTTTCCGCTAGAATCGGTTGGTATTGGTTGTCCATCAGGACCGACGTATGCTCCAGAATCGTCTGTTGGCAGCGGTTTTCCATCTTTACCGACCACTGGGTAAATCGGCCGTCTGTGCATATCTGTGGGAAGAGGACTTCCGTCTGGACCAACAACAGGATAGATATAGTAGCCTGATTCATCAGTTGGAAGTACTTGTCCATCAGGTCCTAGTTGGTCTTCCTCATCCTTTCGTAATGGTGCTTATCAGTAACGTGTTTCTATATGAGTGGGGTTACGGTATCCGCTGGGCATTGTGATTTAGGATATATCAATTTCCGTTTGTCTTCGGGTAGTTCTTACTTTTACTGCTTTCGTAGAGACAAAGTAGTTGCACGATGTATCGTTGGAAGCGGGCGTCTTTCTACGGTTGCACTTGATCGTTGATTGGGTCGTCATCAGGGACTGATGTAAGGACTCAGAATGTCTGTTGGCGAGTGGGTTCTCTTTCCTACGAGTTGGATAACGGCGCAGTTGGCATATCTGTCGGAGACTTCCATCAGGACCAACAGCAGGATAAATGTAGTAGCCGGATTCATCGGTAGGAAGTACTTGTCCATCAGGTCCTAGTGGTCTCCCACTTCTGTCTTTTTCAATAATAGTACCCTCATCAGTGACGTAACGTCCAGAAGTACTTCGTACGCGGAAGCCATAGTTTCGTGATGGTAGATAATTTCCGTTTATCCGTTGGCAGCTGTTTACTGTGACTTTCAAGCGGACCGGAACATAACCGTAGGTTTGCCGAAGGTCGTTGGAAGCGGGGAGCCATCTTTTCCCAGAGGTTTTCCTTAGAATCGTTGGTATTGGTTGTCCATCAGGGACCGACGTATGCTCCAGAATCGTCTGTTGGCAGTGGGCTTCCATCTTTTCCTACGATTGGATAAATCGGCCGTTTGTGCATATCTGTCGGGAGAGGACTTCCATCAGGACCAACAACAGGATAGATGTAGTAGCCTGATTCATCAGTTGGAAGTACTTGTCCATCAGGTCCTAGTGGTCTTCCTTCATCATCCTTCTCGATAATGGTGCCTTCATCAGTAACGTAGTTTCCTGATATGTCAGTGGGTAACGGTGATCCGTCTGGCATTGTGATAGGATATATCACATTTCCACTTTCGTCTGTCGGTAGTTCCTTGCTTACTGCTTCTTCACCTGGAACAACCACGTAGTTGCCCGATGCATCCGTTGGAAGCGGGGAACCATCTTCTCCTAACGGCTTGCCACTTGAATCAGTTGGAATTGGTCGTCCATCAGGGCTGATGTAAGCTCCAGAATCGTCTGTTGGCAGTGGGCTTCCATCTTTTCCTACGATTGGATAAATCGGCCGTTTGTGCATATCTGTCGGGAGCGGACTTCCATCAGGACCAACAGCAGGATAAATGTAGTAGCCGGATTCATCGGTAGGAAGTACTTGTCCATCAGGTCCTAGTGGTCTCCCACTTCTGTCTTTTTCAATAATAGTACCCTCATCAGTGACGTAACGTCCAGAAGTATCTGTCGGTAACGGTGAGCCATCAGGTTTCGTGACTGGGTAGATCACATTTCCGCTTTCATCGGTTGGCAGCTGTTTACTGATGGCCTCTTCAAGCGGAACAGTAACGTAGTTGCCCGATGCATCCGTTGGAAGCGGGGAACCATCTTTTCCCAGAGGTTTTCCGCTGGAATCGGTTGGTATTGGTTGTCCATCAGGACCGACGTATGCTCCAGAATCGTCTGTTGGCAGCGGTTTTCCATCTTTACCGACCACTGGGTAAATCGGCCGTCTGTGCATATCTGTGGGAAGAGGACTTCCGTCTGGACCAACAACAGGATAGATGTAGTAGCCTGATTCATCAGTTGGAAGTACTTGTCCATCAGGTCCTAGTGGTCTTCCTTCATCATCCTTCTCGATAATGGTGCCTTCATCAGTAACGTAGTTTCCTGATATGTCAGTGGGTAACGGTGATCCGTCTGGCATTGTGATAGGATATAT